CTTTCTTATTGTCCTAAACCACCATGTAAAGAGGCACTTTAGATCGGAGATTTCACCTTTCTACCCCTGCCCAGGTAAGATTCTAATGCTCATAATTAAAGAAAAAAATGTAGAGTTGAATAAATACAGGCTCCAAATACATCCATCACCCAAGTAAGTTTTTCTACCAACATTGATAAATCTACTTCATGTACCTTCCAGAACAGAGCATGATGACTATACTGGTATGGAACGTGTGCAGGCAATTGATGATTTTTACCTGATTGCCATCAACCTGATAGCCATGTTTATTTGCCAAGGTCTTGGCCATTGAAATGGTCACTGAAAATCCAACGATGGCTATGGCAATGGCATCCACGTATACAAGGTGGAAGAGGCTGGTATCCGGGTTGGCTGGAGGTAGTAGCCTGAAAAATCAAGCTGGCTTTAACTTGAGTGTTGTGACCACTGGGAAAAAACCACAGGCCAAGGGGTGCAATACAGAGGGTCATTATCTGCAAATGAGGTGATCAGTGCTTGGATCCTCCTTTGCTCTGGATTGGCAAAAAGGACGGCCCTTCTTGACAGAGAGAGGTTCTTTCCAAACCTAAACTGCAGGGTGTGGCTTTCTACCTAGAGGGGTTATCAGGAAAGAGCAGATGCTATTTTATTTATAAAAGGAGGAAACTTATACCTCATGGCACCCTGAAGGCAGGTACAGTAATAGGAAGAAGATAGGGTCAGCAAAATGCTCAGATGCCACAAGACAAAATTTTTATTGTGTTAGAAATAAATGCTGTGCTCCCCATGCAGCCCCCTCTTTCCCAAACACACTCTCTAAACAAATAATGGTGGTTTGTTTTTTTTTTAATTGCAGTAAAAGGGAACAAAATATTTTTGTTGTTTTAAGAGGAAGTTCGTGACCTATAGGACTATTGGCATCTTTTAAGTGCCTGGACTATTACTTATCAACAAATATATGCCAATGTCTTCCTGGGGCAAGTAAGTCCTGCTCTTAGGGCTATTCTGGGTATTTCTAGTTTATAGCCACAAAAATATGAAGAGATAAAGTAACAACATGTCAGTATGTGGAAAAGCCTCACACCAAGTCCACGCTACACACCTGTGGTAATGATT